GCCCTGGACCCTGTTCCTCGTGTTGACTTTCATCTACGGTGATCGAGACGCCTTGTGCTTCCGATGTCATTCCACAAGCAGAAAAAGACTTGGTTTGCGCCTGTGTTTACCTTCAGGCTCGAGAGCGTGACCTGCGGCCGTTCCTTGCACACAGGGGGAGATTTAGAAGGCAAAATAAAACAGACAATATGCCACAGCAAAGAATATCCGTTGTAACAAATGGAACTGAAATTAAATCTAAAAAAAAATCTAAAATCTAAAAAATCAGTTTACCGTCTTCCCCTCCCAGGCTCTGTCAGCTGTGCAAATACAGTGAAAAAATCTTGCCTTAATGGTCATCAGTAGAAGTCACCCAGCAGGACTTAACTTACTTTCCCACTCAGGCTTGTATACATGAATGTATTCTTTATCTAAACCCGTCAAACAGCAACATTTCTTATGCTATAGTACTCGATATGATATTTTGATTTTCTCGATAGCATTTTCTTGGCCTTAATTTTAGCTGTACGACAAGAGGAGGCAAACAGGTACCACACTTGCCACACTTGCCACACTTGAAGCTAGTGGACGGAAGAGACACCTCACTCTCCCATTCCTGCTCATCAAGACACACGCCAACGCCCTTCTAACAAAATATCATAAAGGAGATAATTAATATTTCTGCAACCAAAGCGAACACAAACTAGGGTCAAGGACAGAAGGAGACACAGAGACAAAGGTCAAATAGAAGACCTTGAATTTATACTGAATTTAGATAACGTATCATCTATGGCGTCACAGCTGAAGTCAGAATCTAAAATAGGTCAATATCGTCATCATTATCATTATTACTATTCGCGTTGACATCATTATTGTCATATTTTTGTCATTATCATCATTGTTATTATACTGTTATCATCCTGATTATCATATATCATCATACCGTTGTTATTGTTTTTGTTATAACTTTATGTCTATCATTACCGTCATCATCATTATATATATATTGATATAATATTATTGTTATATGATAATAATAATATTATTATTATTATATTATTTGTCATTATTATTATTATCATTATCAATATTAACATTATCATTATCACTTTTATTATTGATACTGTCATTTAATTATCATCACTATTATTTTCATCATTGTTATCATCACCAACATCAATCATTATCATTATCATGATCATCATCATCACCACCATCATTATCATTATCATTATCATCATAATCATCATCACCATCATCACCATCATCAATCATCATTACTTTCATTATTATGATTTTCATTATCATCATTATTATTATCATTATTATTTCTACCATTAATGTTATTGTTTCTATTTTTATCATCATTACAATTACCATTACTATCATCGTTATTATTATCTTATCATTACTATTATGATCATTATCATTACCATTGTTATGACTGTAGTTATTATTATTATTATTATTATCATTATTATTATTATTGTTATTGTTATTATTATCATTATTGGTATTATTATTATTGTTGTTATTATCATTATTGTTATTATTATATTATTATCATTATTAATATTATTATTATCATTATTAATATCATTGTTATAATAATTATTATTATTATTATCATTATTATCATTATTATTATCGTTAGTGTTATTAGTATAGTTATTATTATTATTATCATCATCATTGTTGTTGTTAGCATTATTATTATTACTGTCATTATTTTCAATGTTATCAATATTATTCTATCAGATTTTTGTTCAATACTATTATTGTTATAACAGTTACATTGATCGTTATTACCATTCTCACTGTTATCATCCCCATTAACAATATTGTCATCATTATCTTTGTTATTAGTGTTATTATCATTATTATCATTACCATTATTAGCCTTACTATCATTATTTCTATTCTTATCATTGCTATTATCATTACTATTATTATTCTTATCATCATTATCGTTATGATTATCGTTATTTTTATTATTACCATTTTTCTTTTGGATGAAATACTTTATTGCTTGGCTTAACAATCCTAAATTAAGTTTATTGAACGAATTCCCGAATAAAAACATTAAATTGAATATAAGATTAGAAATAGAAAATATTATTATTACTACTATTGTCATCCTGATTAAATATTATTAACTATTGTTATGGTTTTTGTTACTATGTCTATCATTATATCTATTTTCATCTGTTTAATTTTGTCTTTCGTCCGTTTAATTCCGAACCGGCAACAGAAAAGGCACTTTATGGTAATCACATTTACTATATTCGAAAGGGTTTAAATTGCAATAGGCTTCAATATCCTGTTACGAGGCCCTTTCGCAAAGACACTTTTGTTTACGCCAAGACATTTTTTACGAGTGCAACCGAGGCGCCTTGCAATTGTAGATTCATTAAACGCGTCGCTTTGCAATCATTTGCACCATTCATCTCCCGGCTCCGGAGTCTGTTTTTTGCGAGTTCGCCTCCAATTGATCCTGCCTTCTCCGCCTACACGCATTCTCTCGTGTCTCTCTCTTGTCTGTTCTCTTTCTGTATCGCTTTCTCTTTCTTTGTCATTTTCTCTTTCTCGTTTATGACTTTCTATATTTTCTCTTTATCTCTTTCTGTCAAAGTGCCTTCTCCGTCTGCACGCATTCTCTCGTGTCTCTCTCTTGTCTATTCTTTCTCTCTCATTCTCTTTCTGTATCGCTTTCTCTTTCTTTGTCGTTTTCTCTTTCTCGTTTATGACTTTCTATATTTTTCTCTCTTTATCTCTTTCTGTCAAAGTGCCTTCTCCGCCTACACGCATTCTCTCGTCTCTCTCTTTCTCTTTTCTCTCTCATTCTCTTTCTCTATCGCTTTCTTTCTTTGTCGTTTTTTCTCTTTCTCGTTTATGACTTTTTATATTTTCTCTCTTTATCTCTTTCTGTCAAAGTGCCTTCTCCGCCTACACGCATTCTCTCGTGTCTCTCTCTTGTCTATTCTCTTTCTCCCTTATTCTCTTTCTCTATCGCTTTTCTCTTTCTTTGTCATTTTCTCTTTCTCGTTTATGACTTTCTATATTTTCTCTCTTTATCTCTTTCTGGCAAAGTGCCTTCTCCGCCTACACGCATTCTCTCGTGTCTCTCTCTTGTCTATTCTCTTTCTCTCTTATTCTCTTTTCTCTTCGTTTCTCTTTTCTTTGTTTTTCTCTTTCTCGTTATATATTTTCTCTCTTTATCTCTTTCTGGCAAAGTGCCTTCGTCTACACGCATTCTCTCGTGCCGTCTCTTTCTCTATCGTTTTCTCCTTCTTGTTTATGTCTCTATTTTTTTCTCTCTTTCTCTCTTTCTGGCATATTACCTTATCCGTTTCTCTCTCGTGCCGTGTCTCTCTCTTATCTATTCTCTTTCTCTCTTATCATCTTTCTGTATCGCTTTCTCTTTCTCTTTCGTTTTCTCTTTCTCGTTTATGTATTTTTATTTTTTCTCTCTTTCTCTCTTTCTGTCATAGTGCCTTCTCCGTCTTCACGCATTCTCTCTCGTGCCGTGTCTTTTTCTTATCTATTCTCTTTCTCTCT